CCCAAGCAGCACCTGGGGAGCCAGCGCAGCACGAGAGGAGAGGATGGAGAGGCAGCGAGGGGAACAGCTGCGAGCTTCCCCCTTCCAGATTGAAGTCACTCCTTTGTGATCAGAAATGACGATGTCAGCATCAATAAGCTGCTGATTATAAAATGTATCCTTGGCAGGGAGAGAATTAACATTTAATGAATACTTGCCATCTGCCAGGCGCTGCGAAGGCTAGTGGTTCACAGTGTTTTTAGTGGTCAAGGGCTCCTCTTGTGGAAGCTTTAAACTCTCTGCCTTAGGAAAATTCAAATGCACACAACATTTTACATAGAATTACAGGGGGAAATGATATCCTGAAGTACAACCACAGACCCCAAATTAAAACCGTGTGCTAAGCTCACATCTGAGAGCGTGGCGTTACTGAGATTGGACACCATTGTCCCACCTTCCCCACAAGGGACATGCCCGAGATCACACACATTGTCAGCGGCAGAAACATTTCAACCAGGGCTGTCTGAACACTGCAACCTGCCACCCTAGATGAAAATGTCGTTTGGTTTTTGCTGTTTCTGTAAATATCACTCCTTGTTTTTAAATGAGGAAATAAAAATTATGTGAGACACTGAAATCTGTGCAAAGCATTCTAAACCCAGCCAGGGAACCCCAGAAGTTGAGAATTCCAGAAGGTTCTAACCCCATATCCTATCAGCCAAAAGGCCCCTCCTCCTGCCCCCACCGCTCAGCTGGAAAACCAGCCAAGGGGCGCTTCTCTGAGAGGTTCCATGTTCCTCAAAACAAGAGGAGCCTCTGTCAATAACCTCAGGAAAAGGGGGAGAATGTTTTCAAAGGCACCTCTTTAAATAATCCATCAGGCTTTAGCCGGTTTGGCTCAGTGGATAGAGGATGGCCTGGGAAATTAAGGGTCCCGGGTTCAATTCTGGCCAAGGGCATGTACCTCGGTCGCAGACTCCTCCCCAGCCCTGGTCAGGGTGCACACAGGAGGCAACCAATCGATGTGTTTCTCTCACATCAATATTTGTCTTTCCTGCTCTCTTCCACTTTCTCGAAAAATCAGTGGATAAATAACCTTGGGTGAGGATTTTAAAAAATTAAAAATTGTCTGTCATTCAAAATGTGAATTAAGAAACCAGTCAAAGCCTACAGATAAGAAACAAAAGAAATTTAATTTCAGAATATTACATGAATATAAAAGAAAGACAATGCATATGATTATTTCTTTACAGTTACATATATATATGATATAATAGTCAAACAAGAATGAAAAGAAATGGTGACAGTTAAAACCCTGCTTCTCTGGTTGAGCGCATTCAGGGACAGTGAGAGTGCAAAGGCAGCTCCAGCTACAAAGAAAGGACCCAGGGGCGGGAGTGTTTTTCCCAACAGGTTCTGCTGGTCCCCAAATGTGGGGGGGAGTGCTCAATGGCTCTTTAGCATCGACTGGCCTTGCAGACTCCAGTTTCCATGGTAACCCAAGCACTCAGGCTATTATGTAGTCCACCTCCTCCCCATCCCCTCCATCAACTCTCCACTGGGGGAAAGACCTCAGCATTCGTTATCTAGGAAAGCTGGGTCTTCATAGCCGTTTTCGATTGGGTTCATTGCCATGGTCTAACATGTGTGCATCTTAGGAACCCAAAGCTTCCCCAAATCTAGGGCCAGCTGGCCAAATGCTGATATCCAGGTTTGGGACTGGGTTCTGCCTCCAGCACAAAGACTTCAAGGTGGAGGACAAGGAGGAGGCTCTCCCCTGGGGAAAGGTGTTCTACTTAGAAGACTCCAGAATGAGAGCCAGCGGCTTCCAGCACCGGTGCGAGGCCCCGTAGGAAATAAGGAAGCAGGGAGTCCAGAGAAGTCCGATCCCAAACATGGCTTCCTGCGTTAAGCACGGCCACAGCACCAGTCACTGTGGGGCACAGCCGCGACCTCAGGTTCTCCGACAGGCAGTACGTTAAACCGCGTCTAACAGGCTCCTGGCAGGGAAGCTGAACAGAAACAGCTATTCCGGAGAGAACGACTCTGCTCTGCCACTCGGGGATTAAGTGGCTTCCTTACAGGCCAGCCAAACAAGCACCTCTGAGCACCCAGTGGTCACCAGCCTGCACTGCTCCGCTTCCCGAGGGTGCTGCCCTGTCATCGCTGCCTGACTTTGAAGGGCCATCAGAGGAAAGAGCTGGGGGAGGGTCAGCTGTGGTTTCAGTGATGGTAAAGCACCGGCTCCTTTAATACGTTCCTCTCAGGTGTTTGAATAGGGACCCCCTGATCTCTCACTGCGCAGTGGAGTTTTTCTTGGGGATTTTTTTCTCTTTGTGTGTCATTTTCTTTCTTCTGTTGTTTTCTTTTTGTTTGTTTTAGGGCTCTTTGTTTCTTCATTTTTTGCACTGGAGTTCTCAAACCAGAATTATTGGTCCCAGTGCAAAAGCCCATCACCATAAAAGGTAAGAAACTCCCATGCCTCTGTCTTCACTGATTCAACCACTGTAGCTCCCCCAGTGCAGACGGGCATTGGTGAAGCAGGCTGGGTTTGTATGCGTGAGCCCTCTGGCACAGACACTGCCCACAGTCACCACACAGCAAAACTCATCTCCACTGACCTCAGAGAGAATGAAATGTTATCAGCCAGAAGAAGAGGCATTTCCAAAGAGATTGGTCCAACATAAAAAATAAACATAACATTAATAATAAACATAAATACTGGCTCAAAAAGACCCTCCCACCAAGTGAAAAGGGAGACAGTGCCCTTCTGTGGCCAATGAGAAGGGCTTTGTCTTTGCGTTCTCCGTAAGATTCCACAGGGTTAGAACAGTTACATATTACAAGGCAGAAGGTTATACTATTTATTTCTCAAATTTGAATTCCAACTGGATCACAGCTTCTATTTTTTAAAAATGACCTAGCATACCCTTAACGCGAGGGAAAGCATATTTAATAAATAACTTAAATGAAACACATACCCGAATACAGACATAAATGGCACACGGGTGAGCTACATAAAAGCACATGCTGGGACAGACTTCGCTCACCACCCAGCCAGGCACACTACGGACTCCACACACGAGTCCCCTGAGTCTCAGGAGCCTCCCGCAGACGGAGCCACAGCACAAACCCGATTCCAAGGGGTAGCAGGTCTGCAGGACAGTCCACACCCCGGGGGGAAACAGTCAGATGACTACAGTGTGGAGTGAAGGGAGAACACTGCTTCATTCTGTTCACACCAAAAGGGGTTTCTGAATTCACTGACAGCTGGTGCAAGGAATTTATTTTTTCTCAATAAGGAAAAGAGCCAAATAGAAACCTTACACGAATGAATTTGCTAATAAGTACTTTCAGGAATGACATAAAACTGCTCTGCAGAAAGGGGCTTCTAAGCAGTTTTATACTCCTAACCATCAATTGTTCACAGTCTATGAAATTGGAAGGCCAAATTTTATCTTTTTTTCCCTTCGCTATTGCCGTTACAGCAGCAGAAGAAACAGTAAGCATGGAAAAGAGGACTGACACTGGACACAAAACCAAACCCTGTTCCCCAGGGTCAGTTTCCTCTCAGCATTGTCAATAGTTTCAAGACAGGTCAGCCGACCATACCTGCTGGGCAACTGCTTCCCACAGAGGTGAGAGCGGTACCCGTGTAAGGAGCAGGCACAGACCGGACCTTCTCCCTGGCTCCTCGCGGGGCAGTGAGTATTTACATGAGATCAAAGCCATGCCACTGCTCACCCCAAACACACAGGAGCATCTCAACCCGTCAAACCTGCGGCTCCAGCCCATCTCCCCACTCCTTCCCGTGCTCATTCGAGAAGGAGGGGCTGTGATAAGCTGCACTGCTTCCAGGAGGACATGCTCTCCTTCACGTCCTGCGGAGACTGCTGCTCACTTCCTTCCTCTGACCCCAGCTGGCTCTCAGGAGACTGTCTAGACTGCACACCATCCCTTAGAAGAATGCAATAGAGCATCCCCACACACATACACCCCAAGGAGTCGTTCTGGACAAAAAACCAATCAGCCCATCCCAGTCATACTCCGAAGCTTCCACCACATACAGATATTTCAGCAAACCTCTATTAAGCTGTTAGAGACTTCCCTTGGTTCACAGTGATCTCACAGAAGTATTGGCACCACATAGACACCAGAGACGTTCGAGGCAGAGAAAACTGAAGGAAGGAAATGAGTTCAACAATCAATTATCTGACATCACTGAGGAAAGCAGGAAGGAGGGAGAGAGAGAAGAGAGGGAAGAACACAATCTAATAGTTAACATTTTTTAAAATATTGTTTCATTCTGAATTCTCCTTTTTCAATACTGCAGGCCAAATAATCTGCAATCTCACACCCAAGAAATCCTAAAAATTTTCCAGGAAAGCTGTAAATTCCTTGGATATAAATAAGGTATTGAGGACTACAGCCTCATGAGATAAAAGAATTTTCCCAAAGTTGAAGGTAAAAGAGAGGAAAGACATCTGGCATAAAGCCCATTTAGATTACATAAACAAAAATAGCTTTAAAAAATAAACAAGCAACAAATAAACAAGAAATAATGACAAAAATACCCAACACTATCAAAACAGAGAAAAGTCCAAAATATCTGTTAAAAATAACATCAATCCACTGGGATGAAAGGACTTAAAAAAACAAAACACTGGCAGTTGAGCACAAATCTCCTATTTTTAAAAACAGACTGTGCCTAAACAAATACATGAAATGAGCCCTGGAATCTGCCTAGTTCTGCCCATTTACTGAGCTGTACATGCCGGTTGGCTGGTGAGTGGTTTCCCCACAATATTAATGAAAAAAAGAGCTGCTGGCACTGGTTCAGAAGGCAGAATTTGCAGAAACACCCAGTGAGTGGAGTTAGAGGTATCAGTCAAGTTATAGGATTAGTAACATTCTCAATTCAAAATGCAGCAGCCAGCTGCAAGTCCCGGCTTCTCTGCGAACGGAATGACAGCTGGCCCATTGCAGAGAAAACTGTGGACAGCCGGAGAACTCTGGGTCCTTCAGAGGAATCCTAGGTTGAAAGAGAAACGAGGGCAGTAAGCACACTTATAAATATTTCTTTTTGCAAGCATCCTTCCTAAGAGCTAGAGAATCCATACTTAATATTTTCTACAAACTGAGGATTAAAAAGTTTAGTTGAAAATTAATGAATTTCTACCAAGTAAACTTCCATTTGTCCAATTGCTCTAATCTCAATCCATTACATCATCTTTTTTTTTCCAACCAGTTTACATCCAATACCATTCCACACCAGTTTCAGATGTACAGCAAAGGGGTCGGAAAACCATGCACTCCACAGATTGGTCTCCTTGCTGCCCCAACAACCCACCTGGCCCCATACCCAGCTATCTTGACATTATTAACTATATTCTCCATGCTGCAATCCACATCTCTGTGGCTATTCTGCAACTACCAATAAGTACTGCTCAATCACTTTATTTTCCCCCCAGCCCCTAATTCCCTTCCCATCTGACAGCTGTCAGTCTGTTCTCTGTAACTATGAGTCTGTTTCTATTTTGTGTCCTGGTTTATTTTGTTCATTAGATTCCACATATAAGTGAAATAATATGGCATTTGTCTTTCACAGACTAGCTTATTTCACTAAGTATAATACCCTCTAGGTCCATCCTTGCTGTCAAAAATGTAAGATCTCCTTCTTTTCTATGGCCAAGTAATATGTACCACAGTTCTATCCACTCATCTACTGATGGGCACTTGGGCTGCTTTCAAATCTTGGCTGTTGTAAATAATGCAGCAGTGAACACGTCATCTTAAAGGCAACAACAGCTACCACTTTACTGAGTGCCTACTTTGTACCAAGCACTGCTCTGAGCTCTTTTATGTACATTACCTCATTTATCCTCATAGCCACCTGTGCATGAGGTGGTGAGCTTGCCATTTAGCAGGTGAAGAATCTGAAGCCTACACAAGCTAACTTGCCCCGAGATTTATAAAGTTTCTAAGCAACAAAGTTGGAGACTAAGCCCAAGCTTGAAGGCAGAGCTCAGGTTCTTACCATCTGCAGTGGAAGCCCTGACAGTTTTTTTCTTTTTGTAATGCAAGTGTATAGCTTGAGCTTTTTTATTGTTAAGAGACATCCATTTCAAAACTCATGCTGACTGAATCCCATGTGACCCTGAGCCCAAAGAATTATTCTTTACAGATTGCTCCTCTAATTAAAGGGTTGCACCTTACATTTTAACTGGGACTGCCAAAACCATCCAAGAGGCATTAAAACTCATAGGAGAAAACTTACCTTTTCTTTCGCTGTGCCTTAAAGATGTAAATCTTACCAGGTCTTTGATATGTAAACCATCCCCCCCCCAGGAAGTAAAGAAGCTATAGGATCTCTGTGCAGTCTGCAAGTTTATATATGTCTACACACATATGTTATGTAGATGTGACTTTTCTCTCTAGCTCTAGATGGTATTGCTTAAATTAATTATTTAAAAAAGCTCTATTTAATTGGCTTAAAAATAAGTAAATTACAAATTAAGTATTCCTAAAAATTCAGAAATAACTACACTCACCCAAATATTTTTCAAGTTCATGTGATATGGGATAATCTCTGATAAATAAAGCTAATTTCAATTGGCTTTAATTAAAATAGGTATGTCTTCAGAGTTACCAACATTAAATATATCTCAGTAATACACCTTTGTGGATACAAGATTTTAGTGCTATTGTTACTGAGGTTTTGTTTTCTACCTGTAAATTGCACTAGATTCTGAATTCTAGTTTCCTGCAGTATTTGGCTACAACTCTCCGAACTAACATTTCTAATTTCTCACCCACCCTCCTGACTTGGAGTCAATGGAATTAAAACAGCCCTTTTCCCAAAGCCATGCAAGCTAAAATGGGACAACTTAATATAAACCTCAGAGAAACCACCACCACAGCTCATGTATGGACAGTCTTCATGCCTATTATCCTATGGGCCACTCAGAAGGATCACCAGAGACATTCAAACTGCAAACCAGAAAAACCTATCAGATTGCCACTGCCTGCCCTCACTCTCTCTGAAGATGCTTCAAGCTGGACATCTAGAAATCTTCTCAACTGCTGCCTTCAGAACTCAGCAACTGGGATTATAATCTATTTCAGTCATTAACCTGTGTTCTTTATTTCCTTTTGTCTATTATTAAATATCTGATGCAAATACTTGTCCTATAGAAGTCTAACTTGGAGAACCCATCTACATCACCACTTCCTGAAATGAAACACAACCATTTAACTGAAATGAGCTATTCTCAGACTTAAGAGATCACTTAGATGAGATATAAAGCAATCTATCAACTCCAGATAGGTTCAAACCTACTTACACCAGATGGCTCACGATGTTAAGATATTTCACAATATAGCCTATATCTTTGAACTGATTCCTAGGGCCCCTGAGATTACTTAGTTTCAATGCAGTCCCAGCACAAATCATCCTCTCTGTTCTGGGCCTCAAAAACATCTGGTACATGATTTCCAGGGTCCTTCAGCGTGAACTATCTCTCTGGAAAGTCTCACTGAATAAACAAATCTGAAGTCCATGACAAGAAGGAACGTAACTATTCCATGTTTACCAGGCATATTCTTGGCACTTTTGTACTTGGTTTCACAAATTAGTTAACACTTGTTTTTCATTTGCTTAAAAATACTCTGAAGATATTTTACACGTGTCCGATCTGTGCAAGAATGCAGGGACCAGGAGGGTCTATATTAACAGCTCTAACCGGCAGCACCTGGGACAGTGCTGAGTAGATGCTCAATAACCATCTGCTAAATGAACTCAAGGGCAAGGACCCAGCCTTGTACTTTTTACATTGCTTCAAGTACAACCATTTAAAAAATGTTACTTACAAAAAAAATAAATAAATAAATAAAAAATAAAAAATGTTACTTACTTTTTAAAGGAACCACACTCAGTAAGAACACAGAATAAATAAGTACAATTAGTACCTTTTTTCCCCTCTTTCTTCCCCTCTGGCCATTTCAATCTTGTTGGTGTCACCGTGCCATCTGGAGATCCAGAAAATAACTGTAAAAAGAGATTTTTATAGTTATTAAATGTCATTCCTTTTTGTGGTGGACGTAGACAATGACGTTGTTGGAACGTTGTGTTTTGTGGAAACCTTAATGAAATGAAGAATTCCAAAGACAAAAAAAAAAAAAAAAAAAATGTCATTCCTATAGATAGACTTTACTAACAGGAATTTATTTCCTGGGTCAATGTCGAGTTTTGCTGACTTATTAATATCTCGTTAATCTTACTGGTTTTCTGTTGTCTTACTGAAGTGACCATGCCTGGGACCTAAAGGACTCCTCCAGGGTAATGCAATGCCAGGTAACCTGGCTCAAATGCTACCACCCTGTGGAGTCTCCCAGTAAGAGTGCGCCCTCAAGCACTGTTTGTGGAGCTATCTCACTGTATTTGCCTTCTTTGCTTATGATTGGCTGTGTCTTCCTTAAACTCAAAATGTGTTTGTTGAATGAATCAATGAAAACCTACAGAAAGATGACAGCATAAATGAAATGATTGAGAAAAAGGCATAGTTTACTGAGAAACACGGTCAAATAGATGACAGTATATCAATTTTCCTCCTTTCTATAAATATACACATACAAAGAGTAAGTATAAAAACCAGTATCTTCCTACCTTCATATTCTCTTTGCTGGCTCTCTTCAAGTCACCAATGGTTGGAGATTCCGGCGTAGGGGCCTTGTTCTTCCTTTCTGACATCATCTGACTTCCTAAAACCTTCCGCTGATTTAGGAAGAAAAAATATTTTATTTACAAACATCTACTATATCTGTATTATTGTTATTCTGGCCTTCAAAAATAGTTTCTTAGGTTAAGAAAATCTCAGCGTCTGATAAATTCTCACAGGCCGTCTTCTTTTACAAGGAAGATCACACCAAAAGAAAAAAAGAGAATAAACCTGAAATCATTGCCTTTCTTTAAGTAATCACTTTTCCTTAACATTTAAAAGGGGTACAATGTTAGAAGCAACTTTACAGCTGATTTAAACTCTCTACTACAGGCAATTACAGTGTGCTTCTGAAACTATAAAAGAAACTCCAGTTACTTACTTGTACAATTTTTTCCCCAAAGACATGCTGTCTCTGGCAGTTCTTCAGGGTCCCCCTTCTCTGCTCCCAACTAAAGAATACTTACACTGGGCCCACTCTAAGACTTTGCTTCCCCAGGATTGGAAAATTTGGAGGAATTCTATAAGAGTTTCTAATATAGTCACAAGAAGGTACAGGCCTTCTTAAGAGGGTCACTTGACTACACTGACATTTCTCCATATCCACACCAACACTTATTTTCTAGGTTTGTTTTTTTGTTTGTTTTGTTTTTTTGTGGGGGTTTTTTTTGTTTCATTTTGTTTTGTTTTGTTTTTAGAACAGCCATCCTTGTGATGAATTGGTATTTCATTGTGGTTTTGATTTGCATTTCCCTAATGATAAATGATATTGAACATCTATTCATGTGTTTATTGGTTATTTGTACTGGTATATCTTCTTCCTTAGAAAATGTCTATTTAAGTTCTTTGGGTATTTTGTTTGTTTGTTTATAAAAGTGCTTTTTATATTCTGAATATTAGCCTCTTATCAGATGTACATTTTACAAATATTTCTCCCCATTCTGCTTGTTGTCTTTTCACTCTGTTAACAGCAAAGAAATTTTTAATGTCAAGCAAATCTAATGCTCCAGAGGCTATTGGCCCCAGTGGATCAGGGTTGAGAGAATTCTAAACTTCTAGTAGTGATATTAACTAGAGTTAGGTGAAATTGCAACTGGTAACAATTGCAGCTTACTAGGAAAAAACATATATTACAAAATATATACATATTTTTAGTGCACAATTTGTCATTTTCAGCAAAAAGCTCCTTAGCTGTTGATATGCTTATAAATTTTAATAATGTTGAAATAATTTTTTTTTTTTTTAAACAGTAGAATATAGAACAGTGCTAATCTCATTCCAAGCTAACCAGAACCTTGCTTTAGTTTAGGTATGCCTGGAAATTTGAACCCCATAATCAAGTTATCTACTGCCACCTGATGACAATATTCCCTAACTACAAGTCAAACAGTCTAAGACTGGAAAATCGAATCTGCAAATAATGGCAAGTAGGGCACAGAAATACATATTGTATTTGTTTTAAAAACAAGATTTGTAATGAATTTGATACAAAGGAATAGAATACAACAACTGATCAAATATTAAGCTCACAAAAATTTGAGTTACCTAAAAATCAAAAAGTCCACTTTCTAACAATTTTTCTAGTCTCTATTAATCTTCTCACTTCTCTAGAACTTCAGCAAACGCATAATGAAGTGTGATTACAAAGTAGGTCATGAAGCAAAAGACTTTCTCCACAGCTCAGGAACCAGGAGTCTGTCCTTAACCCCAGAAGAGAAGGATGGGCCTTTCTTTCTTTCATTTCTCACTTCTCCAAACACAGAACCCCTTCTCTGATTTGAAGCAGCAAAACACTTTGAAAAATAAAAGCTTTTCCAAATTCTATCCATATTGCCTTACAAATAGGCCTTTTACAGGATTCCAGAGAATAGAAGAAAACTGTTTATACATATTGTAAGAATAATCAAGCCGAAACCGGTTTGGCTCAATGGATAGAGCGTCGGCCTGCGGACTGAAAGGTCCCAGGTTTGATTCCGGTCAAGGGCATGTACCTTGGTTGTGGGCACATCCCCAGTAGGGGGTGTGCAAGAGGCGGCTGATCAATGATTCTCTCCCATCAATGTTTCTAACTCTCTATCCCTCTCTCTTCCTCTCCATAAATAATCAATAAAATATAAATAAATAAAAGAATAATCAAACTGTTTCATTTTCTCATAGTCAGTGCTGAAACCAACAGCACGGCATACTCACCTTGATAAGGCCGCTGAAGGAGCGTGAACGGGCCCTCTTCTGGACCCGGGGAGTAGAAGGTTCTTGCCCTGGTGTTAGGGTCACAGATTGCTTATTAAACTAAAAGAAAACATAGAGAACACTTTGTTAATATTCTCCCATCAAGAGATAGCATTCTGTGACAACCGTATGAAAAGCTAAGTGTGAATACTGAGAAAAAATCCAGTAGTAAGTGATCCTGTGTATTCTAGTATATGGATAAGAAAGTAGAGTGGCAAGCAAATCACAAAGGCAGAAATGCTGCCAAAAAGCAAGTTCAAATTTATTAAATCAGTTTGAGGGTTAATTAAATTAAGGAGTGCACACCAAAGAAATCAAGTTGGAATCAGATCAAACTTCTAGAATTAGATCTAACCACCAGTTTATAGCAGATACAGAAGACTGAGAACATCTATACTAATAAAAGGGTAATATGCAAATTGGTCGGGATGCCCTCACAGGCTGCATGGGGCAGGAGGGGGCAATTGGGGGCAACAAGACTGGCAGGGGGGTTAGTGAGGGTCAACCAAACAACTGAAGAGCAGGCTTCATGAGATGACCAGGTTGGCAGGGGGATTAGTGAGGGACAACCAAACTACTGAACAGCAGGCTGCATGGGGCGACCAGGCCAGCAGGGGGCGCAGTGAGGGGGCAACCAAACGACTGAACAACAGGCTGTGTGGGGCAACCAGGCTGGTGGCCGGGGAGGGGGGGGTGCGGCAGGGAGCCCTGAGGGGTAACCAAAAGGGCATGGGGGCAGTTGGGGGCAACCAGGCCGGGGAGGGGGGGCAATTGGGGGTAATCAGGCCGGCAGACAGAGGTGATGAGGGGTGATCAGGCTGGCAGCGGGGACAGTTAGGGGCGATCAGGCAGATAGGCAGGTGAGTGATTAGGAGCAAGTGGTCCAGGATTGTGAGAGGGACATCCCCCGAGGGATCCCAGATCAGAGAAGATGCAGGCAGGCTAGACTGAGGGGACCCCCCCTGCACGATTTCTTGCACCGGGCCTCTAGTCTTAAATAATCCACGAGGATATAAAATAGCAAAATCCAGACTGTGGAAGGTTATCACAGGGGTTGGGGGTAAAAAGAAAAAGAATATGTACTTAAACACAATGTGGTATCCGAGATTGGATCCCAGAACAGAAAAAAGGATATTAGTATAAAAATTGGTAAAATCTCGCCTGACTGGTTTGGCTCAGTGGCTAGAGCATCAACCTGCGGACTGAGGGGTCCTGGGTTCGATTCCAGTCAGGGGCATGTACCTTAGTTGCAGGGGATGTGCAGGAGGCAGCTAATAGATGTTTCTAACTCTCTATTCCTCTCCCTGCCTCTCTGTAAAAAATCAATAAAATATATATATTTTTAAATTGGTAAAATCTGAATAAAGTGTGTAATGTTAATAGTAATGTACCATTGTTAATTTCTTAGTTTTTAAATGTTAACACTAGGAGAAACTGGATGAAGGGTATGTAGAAATTCTCTGTACTATCTTTGCAAATTTTTTCTAAATATAAACTATGTCAAATTTAAGAGTTTATTCAAATAAAAAAACTTGGGCAATATTTTAGAGGTGAAAAAGAGGGATAAGAGAGAAGAAGGAACCTATATATTAAAAGAGAACCAACAACAACAAAGAAAGGCATAGGTACATTTTCTCATGCCACTCTAGGAAAAAATCTGCAATGAAAATACTTATAACAAAAATATATAAACTAAAAAATGACCTAACTTCCTCAAGATGCCTAGAATGCAAACTAAATAAACATTTGGTTATTTATGATGAAATATTATACAACCATTAAATTGTTCATAGCCTTTTAATGACATGGAAAATGTTCATGATATAACTTTAAATGAAAAGGATAGAATATTAAAAAATTAAACATATATTATGATTATAAGCAGAAAAAAAGTTGTAAATACACATTCATAAAAGAAACACTAGAAGAGGAAGGGAGAGAAATAAAAAGCGGGAGAAAAAAACATCAATGTGAGAAACACATCAGCTGCCACATGTCCCAAATGGGCCGAGATCAGACCTAAAATCTAGGCATGCGGGGATCGGGCCAAAACCAGCAGTTTGACATCCCTGAGGGGTCCCAAATTGCGAGAGGATGCAGGCCAGGCTGAGGGACCCCACCAGTACACAAATTCGTGCACCAGGCCTCTAGTTTCTAATTTCTATTACCAGACAAGACCCTTGGCTAACAGTGTATTCTAACTGCAAACAACTCACTAAGAGCTACTACTTTTGCTCTGCTATGCCAACCACTTTACAAAAATTCTCTCTAATCTTTACAAGATGGGCGTTACAATTACTATTTTATAAAGAAGAAAATTAAGATTCAGAAAGGTTATTTACAAAAGAAGGATTTAAACTTTGAAATAATATATTGTAAATGCTGATTCTCTCTCAGCAATCTTGCTACATGATCAAATTTAAAAAGCTCTAACTATGGTTGGATCCTTTTGTTTAACTAGAAAAATCCAAGAACCTCCACTTTTCTCTAACGGGGCAGTAGTATAGAGATTGCAATGAGGTTCCATAGACAAGTTTGCTTAAATGGCTGAGCCAAGGCTTGAGCCAATAAGGCCAAAAATTAAATAAGATTCTTAACAACATTCCCTATGATTCTATAACCATGGTCACATGAATTCCTAAAGCCCTGCTTCCCTGCTCTCAGGCACCTGTCTGATAAGCTGCTTCTTCTTTGCTGATTCAGGCATATTGTGAACGTGCTGGAACAGCTCTCTCAGTGCCTCTTCCGTCCGCTGCTGGGTCACCTGAGGAGAGCAGGAATCCATTCGGTTCTGTTTCTGAGATTTTGCCAGTTGGAAGGACTTAGAATGACATGAAGTTGTCAGATCAAGATCATCCTAGAGAAAATTTAAAAGAAAAGTAAATGAATACATCCCACCAGCTTTGTTTTTAGGTCTCACAAAGAAGAAGAGTGGGGAAGTAGGGTACATGATATATTCTTACACCCAGGACAATAAAAGTCTAAAACTATTATCAGATAAAAAGAAACCTATAGTTATAGACTATATTTTTAATGTACAGCTTTTTATTGATTAGAAAGAGAGAAATATCGATTTCTTATTCCAGTTATTTATGCATTCATTGGCCAATTCTTATATATGCCCTGACCAGAAATCGAACCCGCAACCTTGGTGTATCAGGAGGACGCTCTAGCCAACTGAGCTACCTGGCCAGGGCTAGACTTTACTAGTATTAATAGCCCATTCCCATGACCTGCTCAGATATCCTAAATTCATTGAGAATTATTGCCACCAAAAGTTACATAAGAGTTTAGTTTTTGAAGCATCTTAATATCATGTAATTTTCATTGCTATCCTATAAAGTAAACTGGGTAAGTAACATCATTCCCATTTGAGAGAAGAAAAAACTGAAGCTAAGCTCTAAGTTTAAACTTCTCTAGATACTGAAGTGACAGACCCATCTTAGAGCCCAAGTGCTCTGGTTCTTGGCTGGCACTCTCTCCCACTCATGTCAACATGACATGACAACAACACAGCAGCAGTAGAGGAACAAAATCAACTCTCTAAGGAACCCCCCCTCCCCTCCTAATTAATCTAGTTGAAATCAAATACTGTTTTTCTGGTCACACCAACTATCTGCTAAATGAGGCTTAGAAACAAACAGGAGCAGGAGGGGGGAAATAGTGTAAGCTCACAGCTTTGGTTTCTAACCAAGACAGACTAAACAAAAATCATCAAAAAGTACTTGTGAGATTTTTTAACTTCTCACTTTTAAAGCTCAGTAATCATATGTAATTTTGTCAATAAACATCACACATTTGCATTCTAAGCTCTTATGGTCTCAAGTCTTTTAGCTACTTGATAATGTTTGTTACCTTAATACTTAGCCTGAAATAAGCCTGTTTTACATAAAATTGTACTTTTATTACGATACAATATTTCATACATTTGCTATTCACAGACTGTTTATACCATATGCTGTAAGAATGCACTTGGCTCTGAAAACCTTTAAACATACGTCTATGTCATCAGTGGTGCACCTCAGAAAGCAGACTGTGTAGGGGCATTTTTATTTCAACATATAACCTTCTTCTGTCTTTTTCCTTACTCAAAATGACTAGATCATTTGAACTATAATAAAAACATTTTATTTTTCATAGCTTTACTTTGATTTCACACTTTGTTTTAAACTACATTAATTTTCATTAATGCTCTCCTTGTTTGGGCTAAAAACAATTTCCTATTCTTACCTTTGATGTTTGAGTTCTGGAGTTCAAATAGTGCAATCTGGCACATTCCCGAATGTAAGCAGGAGCCTGGGCAGGTAATGAAAGAAAACCAAGACCAAGCAATAAGTAGTTCTTTTAAGACTCAACAACAATGGTTTTCAAAATAATTTGACTGGCAGATTACTTTAGAAAAAATAAAGATCTTCAAAATGCCCTATTTTATAGCTTCCACCAAAAAGATAATTCCAACAAATCTGATGGGAAAATTGAGAAGACACTACTATAGTTGTTCCTGTTCTAAACAATCAAATATGGCATGAATATACTCAAATAAGCCAGAAACAAAAACATAGATATTTGTAATAATGCTTATGACAAAAACCACTCCTAAAATTCTTACAAATTACAGTGGTCATATTTTAGAATTATTGTATATAAAATATCATTTAGAATCCCTATAGGGTTACAACAGACAAGGAAAAATTTAGCTTACTGATATATTGCCCAGAATCCTGTGACATGAACCCTGATACCGTCCTAGTATAAGTGTAAAATAATACAACCATTATGGAAGAGAATTTAACAACATCTAAGAAATTTACCGTTTACTCAGAAATCTCACTTCTGTGAATCTGTCCTGAAAATATAACTCCAGAAACACAAAATAAACTTGTATAAGATAAATCATAAGATTGGACACAGCAACCTCAAATATCTACTAATAGGGGACTGATTGAATGAACTTTTATACAATCATACAATACAGTACCATGCAGTCATTAAAAACAAAAGAAGGGAGGGAAGGAGTGAGAGGAAAAAAACATTCTGTGAATAGGTAGAGAGTGATTTCCAGGATCTACTGTTACATGAGAAAAGTTATAGAACAGTGTATAAAAATACTTATGTAAAATGAAGAGGAAGTAAGAATATACACATGTGGCCGAAACTGGTTTGACTCAGTAGATAAAGCGTCAGCCTGCGGACTGAAGGGTCCCAGGTTCGATTCCGGTCAAGAGCATGTACATTGGTTGCGGGCACATCCCCAGTAAGGGTTGTGCAGGAAGCAGCTGGCCAATGTTTCTAGCTCTCTAACCCTCTCCCTTCCTCTCTGTAAAAAATCAATAAAATATATTTTTTTTAAAAGAATATACACAGGTAGACACATTTGATTTTACAATAAGAAACACTAGAAGGATAAACCAGAAAACAATATAAATAATGAAAGAACTGAGATTTTTCCAAGCATACCTTCTCATATAATTTTGACTTTTCAACCATGTAAATATACTACAGATTAAAAAAAAAAAAATTTAAATTCAAAAGGGAACAAAAGCAAATCCTAAAACTGAACAGAAACAAAAAATAAGTGAACATATCTATACATCAAATTGATCATATAAACACAGAATTATTTTACCTAGCTTTTGAAAACTGTATCCTGACTACATACTTAATGAAAAGTATTTAAGAAAAAAGGAACTGCCAAGAAATCTTAAACTTCCATCAGCGGGTTTATGTAGGTTTACTATAAGTAGTAACAGTTTTATTACTTTGAAACCATCTTATGTATATCATAGAATAAAGCAAATAATAATATGTTAATGCTATGAAAATCTGGAATTTGCAATGTAAGAATAAAAAGGTGCAAATATAAAGTGAAAGAAGCCAAGAAAAAGCTCTATAATATTAAATCATAATTGGAAATAGTATTAATATGAACTAATGATTTCTTGCTAAAAAAAATTTAACCTACTTCCTTGCCCTCAAAGAGCCAATGACACCCCATAAACAATGAGTTTATAACCTAGTGTTAAAGAAACCCAGGCTCCTTGGAGAAAATTATTGATTTCAGGCCCAAGGCAAAGAAAGAAAAGAGTGAGCTGGGGCCATTTTATTTTATTTTTATAGGTTGATTGATTAACTTGAGAGAGAAGAAAATGGAGACAGAAAGAGAAACATGAATTTGTTGTTCCACATATTTATGCATCCACTGGTTGCTTCTTATACATGTCCTAACTGGAGATTGAACCCACAACTTTGGCGTATTGGTACAATGGTCTAACCAACTGAGCTACCCAGCCAAGGAAGCCAGGGACATTTTATGCCAGAAACAAACAAAACCAAATAAACAAAAAGTCTTCCCCAAAAAGATAATATAGCTGAAGGGATATCCAGAAAGGGAGGCAGAGATGGACTATTTTAAATAAAAATCTGAGGGTCTTAAGTATTTTACAATCCACAGGAAAAGAAGGACTTCCCAAATAAAGTAAAAATTGGCCTTAATTGTAAATGTAAGTCCATGATGACTCATGTTGAAAGAGAGATAAAATCATACTAGGTCAGACAACAGAAGGCAGAACTACAAACAGCTAAGAGGAATTTTAGAAAAATGGTAGAGCATGGGGAAATACAAAGAACACAGAATGAAGCAGCACAGGATATGATACCTGAGGAGGAGAAAAATCCACACAAAGGAGCCGAGGACAAGAAGACACAACAAAGCACAGCACAAATCTGGAGTTTAAACATTACCTCAGAGTAAGTGACAGAGCACAAAACAACCACTATTTTTCATCCAGAGGAAAATCTCAGGGAAGTATATAATCAGTCAAAAGCAGGTGCCCACAAGGATACCAGTTCTGGCCCAAACTGAAAGAGATGAGACCTAAATCTCCAAGATAAATCTCCACCGCCTTTTTTTCTCTCTTTAGTGATCAACAAAGACTCAACCAGTGCTGACAGTAGCCTGGAAACAAAGCCAAAGTAGCAAACAAGGATGAAAACCCCATGGATGAGAAGCTGAAAAAAGAATCTATGGAAGAGAAGATAATAGAGTAAAAACAGAATATTTTAAAGAGTCCAATCATTAGAATTTGAACCAAGCTGAACTACATCTAGGAAATTGTACTCTAGTTTGATCTCTAAGGTTTGTACGATCTGTACTTTCAAAATGCTTCACAGGGATTTGTTATCTTACGTGGCAAAAACGGACTTCGCTGGTGTGTTTAAGGACCTAGTAGTAGAAAGCTTATCCTAGGTTAGTCAGGGTGAGTCCAATATAATCACCTGGGCCCTTAATAGCAGAGATCCTTTCCCAGATGTGGTCAGAAGGAAGTGTGACTAGGGAAGAATGTCATAGAGATGCCACATCAAGATGACAGTCTTGAAGACAGAGGAAGGGGACCATGAGCCAAGGAATGTGGGCAATCTCTAGGCGGGGAAAGGCAAGGAAACAGTCTCTCCAGAACAACCACAAAGGAATGCAGCCAACACCTTGACTTTTAGCCAGTGAGACTCAGGTCAGACTTCTACATAACCATTAAAATAATACATTTGTGTTGTGTTAAGTCACTTTAAAAAATCCTTCAGCCCTAGCCAGTATGACTCAATGGGTAGAGCATCAACATGTGGACTGAAGAGTCCCGGGTTTGATTCAGGTCAAGGCCAGGTATCTTGGTTGCAGGCTCCCCCTGGCCCAGGCCCTGGTCAGGGTGCAGGCAGGAGGTAGTCAATCAATATGTTTCTCTCACAGAGATATTTCTCTGTCTTTCCCTCTCTCTTCTACTCCCTCGAAAAATATCCTCGGGTGAGGATTAAAAAAAAAGAATCCTTCACAGTAAAGTACAAGTATATAGTTTCAATTTTGAAAAATGAAGAGTTCTGGAGATGGATTGTAGTGATCAGTGCACAATACTTATGTAATTTGTGTCGAAAAAATAAATTCTATGAAAGTAACCTCACAGGGTGATCTGATCATAAACTCCTAACTGGGCAGGTCATAGTGGGTAGTTATAAACAAGGCCCATATCTTCTTTAGGGAGAGGTTTTTATGCAAGTCCTGTCCATTGGTCTTGTGCATCTAGGTTAACACACCTTTGAAATTCCAGAAGTAATTCCCTAGAGAGGGGTATTAACTCTCAAAAAAGCATATAACCTTGTTAACTATCCTACCTCCATGAAATCTTCCTCACTTTCCCTCCTGAATTTCAAACATATAAAAGAAGCTGCAACAGTTATTCTCTGAAGCATTTGAGATCTTGTTCCGTGGCACATGTCTTCATTTTGGTTCAAATAAACTCTTATAAAAAGTCTCTGCAAGCCAAAGCTGGTTTGGCTCAGTGGATAGAGCATCAGCCTGAGGACCAAAAGGGCCCAGGTTCGATTCTGGTCAAGGGCATGTACTTTGGTTGTGGACTCATCCCCGGTGGAGGGTGTGCAAAAGGGAGCTGATTTATGATTCTCTCTCATCAATGTTTCTAACTCTCTATCCCTTTCTCTTCCTCTCTGTAAAAAATCAATAGAATTTTTTTTTTTTAAGTCTGCAAGTTTGGACACTTCTTATCAAAAATTAATACCAAAGGGGGAAACAAAGAGGACATCTGTAATATTTTCAACCATAAAGATCTTTTTTCTTTTTTTTTTAAGTTTTAGAAAACCAACAACAAATTAATGCCACTGAACATGGTCAAGATGATAAATTTTGTCATGTGTATTTTACCACAATAAAAAAGTTGAAGAAAACAGAACTGGGTGGTCTTAAAAATTCTCAGCCTTTCCAGATGACAAGAAACTCACTATCAGAAAAGGCCAAAGATGTGACTGCAACCTTTATTTATAAAATCTTATAAGCATCAAAAGATCAGACTATCCAGTCACACAAACAGCCCTTTCAAGAGAATAAAGGTGTGCCTTACAGATCCTTTCAATCACACGAGAGCCTTCTAGGAAGCTTAAAGGTCATGTCCCTCGCCTTCTCAAGTAGAGAAGGGTTTATCTTCAAAAGATTTTTAAATGTGGCTTCTGTCCAATGGAGTGAATCCCACTGAAACCCACAGAAGACCCACAAAGTTCTTGAGAAAAATGTTAGCAGAAACACTGCTATAATAGTTTAGACTGAAATGGACAGAGTACAAAATGAAAGGCTGTCAGACCCTCAACATGCTACTGGAAGGAAACAGGGAGGATGGCACTAAGCGGCCAACATAAGCTGCTTTTCATGGAGGGCAAAGCTCTGCTCAGCCTCCAGGGACTTTCCTACCCTCCCACCTTGGCTGTTCCTCCCCTTGGAGTTTTGTTACTGTATCATCTGTTTTCCAGTCCCGGGGCCTTTTTTAATTGGTTATCATCACCTTAACAGCCCTGCTAAGGATCCTATCTTGCTCCATTCTCCTCGTCTTTTACCACCTACCCCCATCCCTTACCTACCTTAAAAAGTTTCTGGGAGTGTTTAATCATAAAAGCCATCCCACTGTTTAACTTCGTGATATTCTCTTGAAGGTCATTTGCAGTGACCTGTTCAGGAAAAAAAACAAAAAAGGGGATTACAAACGGGGAAATAGAATGCAGATACTCCACTTACTTACCAACAAGCTTATTCTTTCAAAGGCATGGTAGTTTCTGTCCCTAACAAAGGTGCCCCTAATACAATGCTTCATTCTGGAAAGGCTTTTGGTTCAGCAGATTTCCACTGGAATGACATAATCTAGGAAGAACCAAGAAATCCTTGGGAACCAATCTTCATTCCCTAATTCTGCTTGAGAATGAGACACGCAAGCAGAGTTGCTAAAGAAGATCTAGTCTGGAAGAAGGGCCAGGAAGAACAGAATCTGTACCAACCACCATTGGCCCTTCAGAGAAAGGAGCTTCTCCAAAGACAAAAGAAACCTGTCACTACTAATCGTTACCAACGTGACATCTGTTATTTGAAAATACAAATTGTCATTGATTCTCTTCTCTTGTTTCCCCTGCTTTTTTAAAAATGTTTTTATTGATTTCAGAGAGAGGAAGGGAGAGAAACGTCAATGATGAAAGAGAATCATCAATCGGCTGCCTCCTACACAACCTCTACTGGAGATCGAGCCTGCAACCTGGGCATGTGCCCTGACTGGGAATCAAACTGTGATCTCCTGGTTCATAGGTTGACATTCAACCACTGAGCCACACCTGCGAGGCTCTTCTGCCTCTTTTTTACACACTTCAGCATCTCTACTATCCCAAAGCCCTTATCTTCAACATGTATCTTTATTAGTTAATTTTTGCTTTTTTTATTATTATTTCTTATTGATTATGGTCCTCTCTCTTCCCCCCACCACCTGTCCCTATCTCTCTCTCCCTTTCTGCCCTCCTCTCTCCCTTCCAGTCTCTAAAGATCAATGGAAAAAATATCCTTGGATGAGGATTAGAAAAAAAAGGGGGATACAAATCACAGCTGATTTATAGCTTCCAACCCAGGTATCCTGCCTCCCAATTTCATCACACAGTAAAACCTGTATGAATGGACAGGAATATGAACCTATGTACCTCCAGATCAAAAATGAGTTCAAAAGCCTTTTGATAATTTATTTCTCATGCAAGTCACTGAGAAAGCCATGTTCTCAGTAATAAGAAGCACATTCAGGTTTATCCAAGGAGAGAATATCTATAGGAAAAAGAAAAGTTAGGATAAGGCAGGATTGTTCTCTGTTTCATCTTATCTAAAATCTTAGTGACATTATCCTGTAAGATCAAACAACTCTATTCTAAATTTATACCATGTAATCTTCAGGAATCAATTTGTTTTCCCAAGATTGCTTTCACGTTAAGAAGGAATTCAGATTGACCCACTAAAATGATTATTCTTGTTTATTTAGTAGCTATAATCCTACTGAGTTCCACTGATACGTTGCCATTCAGGTCTATCAGAGATTGATTTATAAGTGAGGTCAACAGAAACTGGCCTCTTCAGGTCTGATGACTCTTATTTTGTTGTTATTAATCCTCATCCAAGGAAATGTTTCCATTTATTTTTAGAAAGAGTGGAAGGGAGGGGGAGAGTCAGAGAAAGAGAACCATTGGTTGCCCCAGTGGCCCAAACCGTGGCTGAGTTAAGCCTGCAACCGAGGTACATGCCCCAACCAGAATCGAACCCAGGACCCTTCAGTCCTCAGGCCACCGCTCTGTCTACGGAGCCAAATTGGTGAGGGCAGGTCTGATGACTCTTAGATGAACTAATAAAGTAAGCTCCTAAACTTGTTCAACAGAAAGAGAAACTTTGGACCCTTGATAACCTCACTAAGGTACAGCCACAGGATAAGGCCCAGCCCAAGAATACCGAGCAGTCTTTGCTCTTCCCCTCGACACTCACATTTTTGGGCCACAGGACATGGGGTGCAAACATAAGGGCAAGGTTATAGGCAGACATCTTATTCTTGTCTTGTTTCTTCGCTGTCTGGTACAGGAGATCGAGCAATAACTTCAGCAAGTTACGATTGGGTGGAGGGAGAATGAGGAAGAGCAACTGAAGAGCTTCAATTTGCCGCTCCTTGTCTGGTCTATCAGTCTTGTTTCCTTTATCATCAAACTGCATCAAATCTTGAGGACAAAAGAGATGATTGCAAGTAGGAAGGAAATTCAAGCAAGGGGTTGGGGGGTAATGTTCCTACTATTATCCTCCCCTCAACTCTAATCAAAGAAAGAAGAAGAAAAAAATTAGGCATAACCAGAGATTATAGCAAAATATAATAATGTCAATACAACTAAATAATAAAAAACAAAAACCCAATCAAAAATGGTCAAAAGGCCTGAATAAATATTTCTCCAGAGAAGATATATAAATGGCTAATAAACATTTGTGCACTCTGTATCATTAGCTATCAGGGAAATGTAAATCAAAACCTTAATGAGATACTACTTCATACTCACTAGTATGGCTATAATAAAAAGGACTGGCAATAACAAGTGTTAAGAAGAATGCTGAGCCGAGACCGTTTGGCTCAATGGATAGAGCGCTGGCTTGGGGACTGAAGGGTCCCGGGTTCGATTCCAGTCAAGGGCATGTACCTTGGTTGCGGGCATATCTCTAGTAGGGGATGTGCAAGAGGCAGCTGACCAATGACTCTCTCTCATCGATGTTTCTAACTCTCTATCTCTCTCCCTTCCTCTCTGTACAAAATCAATAAAATATATTTTTTAAAAGATTAAAAAAAAAAAAAAAAAAGAAGAAGAAGAAGAAGAAGAATGCTGAGCCGAAGCCGGTTTGGCTCAATGGTAGAGCGTCGGTCTGAGGACTGAAAGGTCCCAGGTTCGATTCCGGTCAAGGGCATGTACATTGGTTGCAGGCACATCCCTGGTGGAGGGTGTACAGGAGGCAGCTGGTCGATGTTTCTCTCTCATCGACATTTCTAGCTCTCTATCTCTCTCCCTTCCTCTCTGTAAAAAATCAATAAAAATATATTTTAAAAGAAGAAGAAGGAGAAGGAGAAGGAGAAGGAGAAGGAGAAGGAGAAGGAGAAGGAGAAGGAGAAGGAGAAGGAGAAGGAGAAGGAGAAGGAGAAGGAGAAGGAGAAGGAGAAGGAGAAGGAGAAGGAGAAGGAGAAGGAGAAGGAGAAGGAGAAGGAGAAGGAGAAGGAGAAGGAGAAGAAGAAGAAGAAGAAGAAGAAGAAGAAGAAGAAGAAGAAGAAGAAGAAGAAGAATGCTGAGAAAGGGCTCTTCTTACACTGCTGGTGAGAATGTAAAATGGTACGACCACTTTGGAAAATAGTTAGGTAGCTCTTTCAAATAGTTAAACATAGAGTTACCATATGGCCCAGTGATTCCACACCTAGGTATACACCCAAGAGAAATAAAAATAAATCCACATATACCTTTAATAATTCTACACCCTTCATTTTTCCTCACTCATATTGCTAAAAGAAATATGAGGATGAAATATGCTCAGCAACTAACTTTTCTCTATCACATCAATGTTTCTCTCTTCCTCTTTCTCTAAAAATCAATTAAAAATATATTCTCAGGTGAAGATTTTTAAAAAATTAGAAGCAAGAGAAAAATGCGTAAGAGCATTAAATTATAGCAGCATTACAGCTGTGCAACTGAAAAATGAATTCCCTACCACTCAGGCATAAAGGAGAATGAAAAAACTATTTATGAGCTGAAAATGGGACATTCTCCAAGATGTAGTAAGTAAAAAAAAAACAGTCATGTATATAATACCCTACCATTACATAAAAAAAGAAAAAAGGAATATATCTAAGTATTTGTAAATGTATACAACATCTCTAGAAGGATATATTAGCAATCATAGCACTGGTTGCCTCTGCAAAGAGAAACCAGGTGCTGGGGAACAGGGGTGGAATAGAGTCTTTTCACTGTACACTCTTTTGAACAATTTGAATATAAACAATGTGAAAGTTAACTAGTATTTAGGCAGCAAATAAAATTATTTTTAAAAAACAAATTTACTTGGGATTTTGAACACACAATATACACCTGGAACCTATATAATTTTATTAACCAATGTGGCCCCATAAATTCAATAAAGAGTAACTTCTATTTTAAATCCTAGGGAAAAATAAAAAATAAAAACTTCCAAGAGTAGAGATGATCCCAATCGACGCATAATAATACTTAGCTAAAGCCTCAAACCAAGGCAAATATGCCAAACCTATAACCATCTCAGGAATGTAAATTAATCAAATGAAAAGCATGTGTTTGTTTATTTATTTATAAAGGTTTTGTTTGTTTTTTTTTCTAAATATGTTTCTATTGATTTCAGAAAGAGGAAGGGAGAGGGAGAGAGAGAAAAAACATCAATGTGAAAGGGAAACATTACCAGCTGCCTCCCAAACCCCACTCCCAGGGATTGAACCCATAGCCAGGCATGTGCCATGACCAGAACCAAATCTCCAATCCTTCAGGTGAGAAGGCACCCAAGCAACTGAGCCATACCAGCCAGGGCAAGCATACATTTATTAAGCAACTGAAATATTCAAAGCACTATGCTAGGATCCCTGAGGAATAAAAATAAAATTAAACCCAGATTTTATGTTCAAAGAAACTAATTTATAAAAATAAAAAATAAATATTTAATTAAGTTAAACTTAGCTGGCCAAAACTTATGAGTGCCCAGAAGTCCAAAAATACCATGAAGTTTTAAACAACATTAACAAAAGTGGGGGCTTTATTGTTTTGTTTTTCCCTCCCTTCCTTTTTTCCCTCTTTCTTCTTCTTTTTTTTTTTTTTCTCTAAAAGTATTGCTGTGGATTATAAGCAATAGGAAATTCCAAAGGACTTTACTAAATTGAAAGAAATACACTTACATCTCCTCCCCTCTTATACTCACCAGCAATTTTGAGGTGGGCATGGAAATGCTTATGGGTCAGCAGGGGCTCAGGTAACTCTCCTAGAAACACCTTCAGCAAGGTAGCCACGTCATTTGAGTGAAACTCCCCTGATTCCAAATCAATATCAGTTCCATTATTGAGAGCATCCCTTAAAATCTGCTGCCGGACACTATTCCCTGGTATTCTAAACAAACCTTCCACTCGTAAGTCTGTTTAGCATGAGAAAAAATAGAGGACATACAAAAAGGAGACAGAAGAGAAAGTATGATTAAAATAAGTCATCTAAAAGGCTACTTTACACTTGAAAGGCTCTTTACAAAGACCTTGAAGAAGGTTTTTGTTTTTTCCCTCAGAGTAATATAGAACCCACTAGCCCCTGTGGAGACAAATCTGAGCATCCCTGAGGACCTGGAGATCTCCTGGACTAAAGTTGGTCCACTCAGGAGTCATTGAGACACATCTGAAAACTGAATTTAATCTAAACAATAGAAATGAGCTCCAAAAACAAGTTGGAAGAAAAGCCAAATCTCCCTGGAGGCCGCTTTCCTTTGCCATCTGAGTTTGTTTGAAGGGGCCGAGTGCATCTGTGGAGGTTTATTGCTCCCATAAACAGTTTCCCAGCACAGAACGAATCTACAGTCTCTGTGTTGCTTCTGGAATTGGAACTCTAACCTGTCAGATCACCTTTCAGTCTAAGACTCCTGGAACCTTTACATTCATCCCAACTAAACTATGCTGCCCTTCCAACTAGGTTCTAAACTAATCTCAAGCTATTAAAAAAAGAGGGGACATATAGTTTTGATTTGATTGGAAGGAGCCTGAGAGTTCAAGTTTCCAGCTTGAGTACATATTTATCTTCACTCTAGAGGCCCCGTACACAGATTTGTGCATAGGTGGGTCCCTCAGTGTGGCCTCTGGGGATCCCAGTCATGCAGGTCAGCTGAGCAATGCTCCCACCCTGGGAGCGCACTGACCACCAGGGGGCACTCCTGCATTGGTGGTCAGTGCACATCATAGTGACCCGTCAACTGGTGGGTCAACTGGTCGTAATGGTCGCTTAAGCTTTTATATAAAGAGATAACTCCCTAATTGAGGAGACGGGGCCAAGCAGACAACAGTAAATGAATGAACAGGAACCATAGTGAAAGGAGGGCACATACTTGTGCTGTAGCTGACTGTGTCAAAGTGGCAACAGGGCCCAAGGATCCTAGACCTTCCTGTCATCCCAGGAAATTGCAAACCTAGACTTTCCCCATTTTAACACACTGATAAATAATTTTATTTTTAATTTAATCCTTTGCCAACTAAAAACAAAACATGAAGGTAGATGACTCAAGCCCGTAGGCTGCCTAACCTCTGCTCTAGCTCCCAGCACAGTGTTTGCATTGAATTTATCAAAGGGTCATAAAATGCCACACACTTCACATACACTCAGCTGTGCCAAGCACTCAGAGGAATGACATAACCAGCATGACTACTAAAAAAGAAAATGGGAATTAAGTAAATAAGGTATTTTAATTATATAATCCTAAAGATATAAGTACTGTTGGTGATAAATCATTCTCCCTTAAGTAAATGTTATGATTCTCTAGGGACAATGTATTTTTCCAGAAAAAGCTATCTCTGAGTCAAGGGGAAGATGTGATTGACACGAGCTAATTTATATACATCTTTGAAAACAAAAAACAAATCAATATATGAAGTGAAATTTAAAACAGAATATATTTAGAAACACGTCACCAACTCAAGGGTGTCAGCTCTCAATAGAAAACAGACAATTCTTCATTAACAAAGAACAACAAAATTTTAAGTAGTCTTACTTTTGTGTAGATATTCAATTAGCTGGTATATCTGAGCAATGCCTTCTTCTGTCAGTGGAGATCCAAATACTACTCCTTTTTCTAAAAAAAAAAAAAAAAAAAAAAAAAAAAAGAAGAAGAAAGAAAAGAAATAATTACACAGGACTATATTTTCCATAAATAGTACAAAAATCAGCATACTGAAAACCACTCAAGCATCCGATGTCACAGTTCAGCAAAGACTTTCACAAGGTCAATAAACAAAAATCTTAAGAGCTGGCCCTTGCTGGTTTGACTCAGTGGATAGAGCATCCGCCTGTGGACTGAAGGGTCCCAGGGTTGATTCTGGCCCAAAGGCACATGCCTGGGTTGCGGGCTCGCTCAATCCCCAGTAGGGTGTGTGCTGAAGGCAGCCAATCAATGATTCTCTCTCATTGATGTTTCTATCTCTGTCCCTCTCCTTCCTCTCTGAAATCAATAAAAAATATATTTAAAAGGAAAAAAATATTTTAAGAGCTGGAATTGCACCTTAAAATGCACCAGGAAATGTAATCAAAACAACTCTCAATCAACTCTGCAAGTTTAACATTCAATTGTAGGTTTTTTGAAGACAAAGTAACAATACCTAAAATGTTGATATTTAATTTGAAAAAAACAAACAAATAATAGAATTTAGAGCCATAATTGACAAAGCATGACAGATTATCCACTAGGAGTAGATACAGGGTCAGATTATAATGTTTAAACTTTTTGCTAACTTAATTATTTCCTTATACTTAATAAAATAAGAAATGCCCTGGCTGGTTTTGCTGTGGATAAAGTGTCGGCCTTCAGACTGAAGGGTCCCAGGTTCGATTCTGAACAAAGGCACAGACCTTGGCTGCAGGCACATCCCCGGGGGAGGGGGGGGGGTGCAGGAGGCAGCTGATCGATGTTTCTATCATTGATGTTTTTTTTTAAGCTGCACTGTAATTTATTTCCTGGGAAGGCTGTTTTGGGATGAGTCATAGATATTTTTATTTGCCTTTTTAAAGCATTCCATTCAATAAACCTACAATCTAATGTTAAACTTGCAGTTGGTTGAGAGTTGTTTTGATTGTATTTCCTGGTGCATTTTCAGGCGCACTTAGAGCTGTTAAAACATCTGGGAACTAACAACTGCAATAAAAAATGCTCAAACTGCCGAAACCGGTTTGGCTCAATGGATAGAGCGTCGGCTTGGGGACTTAAGGGTCCCGGGTTCGATTCCGGTCAAGGGCATGTACCTTGGTTGCGGGCATATCCCCAGTAGGGGGTGTGCAAGAGGCAGCTGATCGATGACTCTCTCTCATCGATGTTTCTGGCTCTCTATCTCTCTCCCTTCCTCTCTGTACAAAAATCAATAAAATATATTTTTTTTTAAATGCTCAAACTGTCTTTACTGTACTCTCTAGCTATAAACTTTGTCTTATTTTAAACATTATTTTCGGACAGTTAATAGGGAACGAAAATCAAGGTGTCGCTGATAAATACCTAAACTAATTATGTCACCTCTCAGGGACTGACATATATTTGACTTTAATTTATCTAGACTTTTAAATTAATTTTTGTTGTTTTACTTCTTATGAAAATGAAAAAAAATTGCTTTATGGTATTAGCAACTCCCCAATGAACATACAGATGCCAAGGATGAAGCCCAAAAAGCACCCTTCCCAAACTCCTCTCCTACCCTTCCGCCTGGCAGACATTAGAGACCGGAGGAATCCTGTCGCTGGGCCAGCCCCACCAGGCAACTTCAGTTCCACTTCTCCCATCAGCTGAGCCAGTTCCGTTCCAGGTAAATCAATGAGCCTTGTGATATTGCTGACCACCAGCTCAGTGAACACCTCAGGTTTCTCATGACGGAGTTTTTCGACAAAAAAGTCAGGATTGAAGATAATGGGCTGGCCTCGCAGGGAAGAGTCATTGCAGATAACAAAATTGCAGATGGCATCACTGAAAGAAATGAATCAGAAGAATCTCGGGAGGGCCTAGATCATTTTCATGTGTTTCTCATGCCCTCTCAACCACAGTTATTCACTCTTTCTGTGGGTTAATCTACACATTGGCCTTTTGAAAAACCTTATCCTTAATCTGGTCACTGCACAGAAGACAATTTGAACTTGTTGCTGTTTAATCTTACCCACCTAGATACTTAGGAATTTAGTTTTAGGAAAATACATGTGGCTCAGTGGTTGAGAGTCAACCCATGAACCAGGAGATCACGGTCCGATTCCCGGTCAGGGCACATGAATAAGGGGTGTGCAGGAAGCAGCCAGATCAATGATTCTCTCTCATCATTGATGTTTCTATATCTCCCTCTTCCTTCCTCTCTCTTTAATCAATAAAAATATGTTTAAAATAGCAATAATTTAAAAAAGAAAGAAAAGAGACCAGATAGCCTCTATTATGTGACCTGAATTTGCCTCTTAATTACAGGCATATACCATAGGAAGATACAGATCCTTACAGCCTCCCAAATCTAATAACATATTAGCATTGCTAGTCACATAGACCACATTTCCTTATTAAAACAGTTAAGCCCTGAATGATTACTGTTAAATACTTGTAAAACATCAGACCTGCTGTTCCCTTAACAGAGCAATGGGTAATCATCAAGTTAAGTCCCTCTTGGGAACACAGCCACTACTAGACGGTATTTACCATGCAGTGATCAATTGCTGCCAGCCACCACATTCAGGCTAATCATGCTTACTGCCACAGGAACCAGGTAATTCTATTGAAGACTTAAAACTAAATCTAAATAGTGTCATAGACAATTTAAAGACAATTACCCATAGGGTTCTTTGTTTCCTGGGTCCCTACACAGGTAGGTATTTCCTGGGTCCCTACCCAGGTAACTCTCTCTAACTGAGCCAAACACTCTTGAATTGTTTCTCATAACCTTACATTCTTCTCTAGAATGTAAGGCACAGGTACATAAAAATATTTTTTAAATCAATAAAAAATATATATTAAATATATAGATAGATAGAGATAGAGATAGAGATAGAGATAGAGATAGAGATAGAGATAGAGATAGAGATAGAGATAGAGATAGAGAGAGATATTAATTCAGCCTTGTCCGGTCCAGAAATAGGTTTTATTTGAAAACCTTTCAATTCTGGATGCCTATGACTCATGATCTAAATCCAGCCTTTCCTCAGACAGATTCTTCTAAGGCACTGGAAAAAGTCTACAGTATTTTGCTTCTAATTTCACTCTTCTATCACTGAGTAATACTCAGCAAGTCCTGGTCAGTGTGGCTAAATTGGTTGGAGTGCCATCCCATACACCAAAGGGGGGTGAGTTTGATTCCCAGTCAGGACACATACCAAGGTTGCAGGTTGATACCTGGTCAGGGCACATGCAGGAGGCAACCAATCTTCATCTCTCTCTCTCTCTCTCTCTCTCTCTCTCTCTCTATCTCTATCTCTATCTCTATCTCTATCTCTATCTCTATCTCTATCTATCTCTTACCTCTCTCCCTCTCCCTTCTTCTCTCTAGAATCATTTTTCTTTTTGAACGTTCTTTTGGCTCCTGATCTTAGCTGGTTTTCTACATTACTTGGGTTATATTCCTGGCAAAGCTCCTTTGACTCAGAAATAATTCCTTCCCTATTCTGTGTTTCCTAAAACCTAATTGCTGTACATTTTACTTTTAATATACTACATATAAGAACAGTATTATTCAATCTCTTATAGCAGAGCCATCACCAGTTGTTTGTACCCATTACAAATTATTTCTAACTAGAGGCCCAATGCACAAAATTTGTGCAAGAGTAGGCCTTCTTTCCCCGGCTGCCAGCACCAGCTTCCCTCCGGCACCCAGGACCCTTCCCTCCGGCACCCAGGACCCTTCCCTCCGGCACCCAGGACTCTTCCCTCCGGCACCCAGGACCCTTCCCTCCGGCACCCAGGACCCTTCCCTCCGGCACCCAGGACCCTTCCCTCCGGCACCCAGGACCCGAGCTTCTCTTGAAGCCCCAGCTTCGTCTGGTCGAATTAGCATATTACCCTTTTATTATTATAGAAGATGACTTGTGCTACTCCTTATTATATAAACAATCATCTGTTATATAACAGATGAGTTCATAGACCACAAGCCAGAAAGGACAAGTAATCACATCTGTCAAGCAAAGGTGAGATGCACCTGACTCATACAAACAGTTCCACAATAAAGACAATCACAACACCTGGCACTCTTCCAGGAAAATGACTCCTCTAAGAAATAAATGTATCTAATTCCTTTCCACAGAATACATGACGCCACAATATAAAGCTGAGACTATCAAGAAGCATGGCTAAAAATTTAAGAGATTTCTAGAACTAAAGAAAAAATACTATATTTAAGCAATAACAACGTCCTACTCTGCAGTATCTTATTTTAATACAAACTCAATAAGTTTGTTAAAAAAATAAATAAATTTCTTACATAAGAGCTGAAAGCTTCGGATGAGGCATTGGTAAATCGAAGAGACTGCGGAAAGCTTTCTCCTTATTTGTGGTGACAAAGGAACCCTCCTGTCCCTGCCTCATTACAGCCTACACACATTCCAGGCGTGCTATGGGACACAGGGCACATTATGGGGCCTGAAAGGCAGTACTTATTAGGACTCTACACACTCATCTGCAAGAAGGAACAGAACAGACATTAAAAACTGGACTAGTTCATTATTTGCCAACATACAGATGAAATTCAACAACAGTCTCCCATCACACAGAAAGTTGTATTAGATGAAACAATCACATATGTAAAAGTGTACAAGTAGTTGTGTAATATGGAGGGAAAGGTGACCCCTACCTCACATCATACCTACAAAAAAAACAAATTCCAGCCAGAAAAAAATCTAAATATAGAAAGCCAAACTTTAAAAATTTTAGAAAACAGAAGAATAAATTAATGAGGCAGAGGAAATGTTTCTTAAACAAGGTAGAAAGAGCACAATCCACAAAGAAAAGATTGATACATTTAAATACATTAAAATTTCTATAAACAAGTGACAGTATAAACAAAGTTCTTAAAGAATGAAGTCACAAGGCCTCTGGAGAGAGGAACTGCATGAAAGAACAGGAGTGGGAGAGAAACTTTCACTGTATGTTCTTTTGTACTTTCTGGATTTTTTTATTTATGTGAACATATCCATTCATAATAAATACAATAAACAAATTTAAAACTTTAAAAATAATAAAAGATAACCCATAAACTGGAGAAAAAAACATCTGCATGCTAAAAGGATTAGCATTCAGGATTTATAAGTATGCCTAACATTTCTTTTAAAAATACACTCAACTCAATAGAAAATTAGTCAAAGGATATGACCAAGTAATTCATACAAGTAGAAGAGGGGACCAAAATAGTAAACAAGAAAAGAATCTCAACTTTATAAGATATCAGGGTAAAGCAAATTTAAAAATGGCATCTTTCTCCATCCCTCATTTTGGCAAAGACTATTAGATTCAGGCAATATCTTCTTATTCCTAGTTTAATAATAGTTATTTCTTTATTCATAATCATGGGTCATGCTTAATTTTATCAATTTTTATATCTATTGATGATTATATAACTTTTCTCCTTTATTTTGTTAATATGGTAAATAACACTGATTAATTTCCCAATGTTAAACCAATTTTGCATTTCTAGAATAAACCCAATGCTGTTATGATGTATTATCATTTTTCTATATTGCTGAATTTAGTTTGCTAATAGTTTGTTTAGATTTCTTTATATATGTTTATATATGGCCTTTCTTGTATTGCCTTCAATAGATTTTGTATTAAGGTTGTGCTGGCCTTATAAAGTTAGTTGGAGAATGTGTCTTATTTTTCTATTTTCCGAAAAAGTGTATTGTTGTTATTTCTTCTTTAAAAGTTTGATCGAATTGGCTAAAGAAGCCCTCTAGCCTAGTTTTGTTTTTTGTTGTTTTGTTTTTTTGTGAGAAGGTTTTTAATTACATATTCAATTTATTTTGTGTTATAGGACTAGTCAAATTTTCTATTTCTTGTATTATATTAATTTTGATAAGATGTGTATTTCTAGGAATTTATCTATTGCACATAAATTTTCAAACTTTTTGGCATAAGCTTGTTTATAACATCCTCTTAGGAACTTTTTAATGTATCTAGGTTCCATAGTGATGGCCTCCCCTTTGTTCCTAATATTGGTAATTTATGATTTATCTTTCTTAATATATGAATCTTATTAGAGGTTTATCAATTTTATTAGCTTTGTCAAGGTTTTGTTGAATCCCTCTATTACATTTGTTATTTCATTAATTTCTGCTCATATCTTTTTCACTTTCTTTTTTCTACTTTTCTTTACTGGATTCAGGATAAAAGTGGCACTGCCAATTAGTGGGGAATGGATACCCTTTTCACTAAGTGGTGCTGAGACATTTAAACACCTATGGAATGAAAATTGACATCTATCTCACACTATACACATAGATCAATTCCAAGTTAATTGTAGATCTAAAGGTGAACAGCAAAACAATATACCTATTAGAAGGTAATATAGAAGAATATATTCTTTTTAAAAATATATATATTTTACTGATTTCAGAGATGAAGGGAGAGGGAGAAAGAGAAACATCAATGATGAAAGAGAATTGATTGGCTGCCTGCTGCATGCCCCTACTGGGTATCTGAGCTGAAACTCCCAGCATGTGCCCTTGACTGGAATCCAACCCGGGACCCTTTGGTCCACAGGCTGATGCTCTATCCACTGAGCCAAACCAGCTAGGCTAGAAAAATATATTCTTAAATTCAAGGTGGGTAAATAATTTTTAAATAACACAAAAAAAATTAACCATAAAAAAAAAACATTCATACATCTGACTTCATTAAAATAAGAACTTGTACTCATCAAAAGAACCATTAAGAACATGAAAAATCAAGCCACAGAGGATGGGAAAATATACCTGCAATATACTATATATACAGAAAAAAAAAAAAAAGGTTCATATCCTCATTATACTAAGAATCCCTACTAATCAATTAGAAAAAAAAAAACAATGACCCGCCGAAATCGGTTTGGCTCAGAGATAGAGCGTCAGTCTGCAGACTGAAAGGTCCCAGGTTCGATTCCAGTCAAGGGCATGTAAGTTGATTGCGGGCACATCCCCAGTAGGGGGTGTGCAAGAGGCAACTGGTCGATGTTTCTCTTCGACGTTTCTAGCTCTCTATTTCTCTCTCTTCCTCTCTGTAAAAAATCAATAAAATATATTTTTTTTAAATGTGGCATATATAATGGCATATTCTACAGCAATGAAAATGGACAAATTCCAGTTATATGCATCATCATGAATGAATCTCAATGATAAGCAAAAGAGGTCAAACACACACACAGAAACTATTTACTATATAATGCCATTTATATCAAATTTAAAAAAAAAAAAAAAAACAGACAAAACTATAGTGTTTAGAGATACTTGCTTAAGTGGTAAAATTACAAAGAAAAACAGAGATTTATTTACCATATATTTTAGGATAATGGTTACCTTTGGGGATTAGTGACTAAGAGGAGGCATGAGGGGAGCTTCTATGATGCTAGCAATGTTCTTGTGATAAATCACTGAGCTATGGGGGAAAGGGAGGGTTTCATTTGAAGTAAATATGGCAAATGTTAAGATTTGTTTAAGCTGAGAAACAGGAAAATAGTATTGATTATATTATTCCATATATTCATCTTTATAATCAGCATCTTTCATGAAAAATATTTTAAGAAACCAAGTAGTTTTGACCTAAATGTTGCTATAACTTGATATAAATACCATAGACAATCAAAGTACTAGTAAATACTAAAATGTTTTTTTATTCTTTTTTTACTAAACGTTAACTTCCTCATCATAAAAGTTTTAGATGGCCAGAAGCAGGAGAATTAGGTTATGTATGCAGGCACACAAAGGTAGCAAATGGCTTCAGTATTTAAATGCATATACTAGGCCACTATCCCAAAAGTGATAAAGGTAAGCCCTACCAGCCCACAAAAAAGATAATTTTTATAACTTACTTACAGTCTGCGATGATTAGTTTTACCACTAGATGGAACCCTACACAAAAGGTGATATGCTTAGTGGAAGAACTAGAAACAGAACCCACAACTAAAAAATCAATTACAGGAAAATGACATGCATGTGTGTTTTTGAGGCATGTTGAAGCCATGAATATGAAAAGTCCGAGGAAACAAAACCTATATCCTGCAGATGTATCTTTTGGCTGACTACTACTAAAACTGCATACCCACAAAACTAAAGTTTCCTCCCTAATGAACTGCTTAATTTGATCTGTTCTCCGAGAACCACAACTTTGACAAATCTATCAAAATCTGAGCTCTATTTGAAGGTGCCTAAGCGTGACTAGCCACCCTGAGAGAAGTATGCACTCTCTTACTGCTTTTACCATGTCAGACCATAGCTCTGAAATATGGCTTTAAATGTCACTGTTAGATAGGAATACATACAGGCTATTATTTTTCTTTCCTTTTCTACATATAAATCTAAACTGGTAATGTGAAAGCTGCAACGTAAAGAGAAAGAATAAACGAAGACGCTCTTGAGATTTGCTATACAACATGGTACCTACTTCAACCATACCGTTACTGTGCCCGTAAAAATTTACCAACAAAAACAGACCCAGAGAAAGAGAAGCAGCGATCAGACTCTCCAACCTCAGAGGGAAAGTAGGGGAGGGTGGGAGTAAGGGGAAGAGATCAACCAAAGGACTTGTGTGCATGCATACGGGCCCGGCCAGTGGCCATGGACAACAGGGAACATATGTGGGGTGGGGTTTGGGATGGGAATGGGGGGATGAGGACAACTATGTGATACCATAATCAATAATTTTTAAAAAATTTAATTGCCAAGTGGTTAGATGTCTTGGCAAGTGTTCTTACCCCAATGGGACCGTTTTGTTTTACATTGGCCCATTTCAAACTGACAGATTCTCGCTCTGACTCAACCACGTACACCGGCTCTGAGCCCAGCAGACGGTACTGACAGTTCTCTGCCATCGCGGTGGGACGGCGGGGAAATGGCTCAACAGGTCTAGGTCGGCGTTTCCTCGCCATCAAAACGAGGCTCCGCGGAAAGGGAGGCAGCGCCCACAGGTCGGTCTGCAGTCAACGCCGCGGGCGAGCCACCCACAGGCACCCGCAGGGCCGAGGGGGCGCGACTAACGCCCGGCGCCCGGCGGCGGGACCCGCGCCTCCTCAGCCGCGGCAGGCGCCAGGGTGCGCAACGTCCTGGGAGGAAAGGCACCAAGTCCGGCCCCGCTGGGTCACCACCACCCAAAGGAAAGGCCAGCCCACGGCCAGCCACGGCCTCGTTTCCTAGGCAGCTGGACCAAAACCTCGGCTCACCTCCGCCCGGATTCGCGAGCTGGCACCTCCCCTTCATTCAGCGCCTCAGTCGCCATCTTCGTCAGCAAACTTCTTTCACCGCCCCCACGGTAGGCCCCGCCCACCGCGCCCTTGGATTGGCTAACGTGTTCCTCCCTCTTCCACACGATTGGATGACTTGACCGCCCCTTCCAAGCCAGAGCAATCTCATTATTGTTCATGATCTTATTGGTCTATTCAAATACCTAACCGTCATTGGTCGCCTCTTGTCCTGGCGGACTAGACAGGGGTTGGGGCGGGGGGGGGGAGGAGACACAGCCCCGAGGCCTGCCGGGAGTTGTAGTTTCTCGCTTGCATTCACCCTTCGGACTCCACTGGGTTTTAGGTTCAAGTTAATATAATAGATACCGGCAGCCTACGCTCAAATTTGTTCTGATGTATAAATCTCAAAATTAAAAAACTGTTGAGCCGAAACCGGTTTGGCTCAGTGGATAGAGCATCAGCCTGCAGACTGAAAGGTCCCGGGTTCGATTCCGGTCAAGGGTATGTACCTTGGTTGCAGGCACATCCCCAGTAGAGGGTGTGCAAGAGGCAGCTGATCCATAATTCTCTCTCATCGATGTTTCTAATTCGCCATCCCTCTCTCTTCCTCTCTGTAAAAAAACAAATATATATATATATAACTGTCGAATTTAAAAGTCACTCTCCAAAATGCAAGATTTTGTTTTCTGTCTACAGAAATACCTAGGAAGGTGGGTATAGAGTGGCAACCAAGAAACACTATTAAATTACTATGAAATTTAGTTCACAGCCTGCGTTTTCATAGCGGTAGGTTATTTATGCTTCATTCCACCCGCTGTCCACCGGCTTCCCGGAGAACCCACAGTTTGCCTCTCTAGTCTGAATCCTGGAACAAAAATCTGCATAACTTTGTACCTGGCTGAGCTTTCATCCTCAGTGGTAGAAATAACCATAATTATGCTTGCCCTCCCTGCCTCAGGGTGAAGATTAACTGAGGCAACAGATATGAGAATGTTGGAAACTGAAAGCATTATTTTTTTTTCCTTTTTTATATATATTTTATTGATTTTTTTACAGAGAGGAAGGGAGAGGGATAGAGAGTTAACATTGATGAGAGAGAATCATCTATCAGCTGCCTCCTGCACACCCCTCACTGGGGATGTGCCCGTAACCAAGGTACATGCCCTTGACTGGAATCAAACTTGGGACATTTCAGTCCTCAGGCTGACGCTCTATCCACTGCGCCAGACCGGTTTCGGCAGCATTCTTTTTTTTTTTTTTTTTTTTCTATATTCTTTTTCTATGCTGGATTTTTCTAAGGGTTATTTTCTCTATTGTTCCTTTTGACATCCTTTCAACGAAGGTTCTCCATCTCTTTCCACATGTTTCTTTTTTTAAAAAAATACTTTGATTTTTTTACAGAGAGGAAGAGAGAAGGATGGAGTTAGAAACATCGATGAGAGAGAATCATCAATCAGCTGCCTCTTGCACACCCCGCATTGGGGATGTGCCCGCAACCAAGGCACATGCCCTTGACTGGAATTGAACCTGGAACCCTTCAGTCCGCAGGCTGACGCTCTATCCACTGTGCCAAACCGGTTTTGGCATCTTTCCACATGTTTCAATTTCTCCTCAGTTCTTCTCTGCCTCAGAGCCTTTGCATGTGTTGCTTGTTCTGGATAGCCCAATTTTCACTGAATTATATTTCTGATCTCAGCTTAAAAGTCACTGGTCCAGATGCCTTCCATGGCCCCACTTATAAATCACTTCCCCTACTAAACTTTCACATAGTACTCTGTATTCTTCCTTCATAGTTCTTATCACCATGTATAATTATATAGCTGTTTGTGTGAACATTTGTTTCATGGGAAGTTTCCCAACCAGACTTCCTGCCACCAGTGGACAGAGACTACATCTGTTTTTCTCTCTGGCACATAGTGGCCTTTCAAATCGATATCTTTTATACAAATTTTAGATGGCGGTGGGGGGCTTTTTTTATTTTCAATTACAGTTGACATGCAATATTATTTTATATTAGTTTTTAGGTGTACAGCATAGTGTTTAGATAATTATATAATTTATGAAGTTATTCCACCCAATAATTCTAGTAACCACCTGGTACCGTACATAGTTATTACGATTTTATTGATGGTATTCCCTATGCTGTACTTTACATCCCCATGATCTTTTTTTTTCTTTTTCTTTTTTTTATTGTTTGAAGGATTACAAACAGTAGTACATATGTCTTTTTTTTTCCCCCCCCTTGGTCTCCCCTACGCACCCTCCCACCCCCGCATATGCCTTCACCTACCCTTCTACCCCCCCCACCCCCGTGATCTTTTGAACAAATTAACAACCAAGTCCTCAGACTATTTATATTATCCAAACAAAAGCTTGAATCACATGTTCTAATAGATTATTTCAATTAATGAGAATTCATATTAAAAATTGAAAAAAGTATCAGCCAGGACCGGTTTGGCTCAATGGATAGAGCGTCGGCTTGGGGACTGAAGGGTCCCGGGTTCGATTCCGGTCAAGGGCATGTACCTTGGTTGCGGGCATATCCCCAGTGGGGGGTGTGCAAGAGGCAGCTGATCGATGACTCTCTCTCATCGATGTTTCTAACTCTGTATCTCTCTCCCTTCCTCTCTGTAAAAAATCAATAAAATATATTTTTAAAAAAATTGAAAAAAGTATCAAATAAAACTGCATTTAGTTTCATGTTTAACAAATTTTTTTTATTGAGCAAATACATGAAAAGAAACACAGAATTCAGCAAACAAGTAGCAGTGGGATTTTTCTTTTTTTTTTCTTTTTTTTTTAATATATTTTATTGATTTTATACAGAGAGGAAGGGAAAGAGATAGGGAGTTAGAAACATCGATGAGAGAGTCATCGATCAACTGCCTCTTGCACACCCCCTACTGGGGATATGCCCGCAACTAAGGTACATGCCCTTGACCGGAATTGAACCTGGGACCCCTCAGTCCCCAAGCCGATGCTCTATCCACTGAGCCAAACCGGTCCTGGCAGCAGTGGGATTTTTCAATGAACCCCAAACAACCTTGGAAAATCCAGCCTCATAATTTACATACATGTAAATTACTCACACACTCACACACACACAAGGCAGGGAACCAAAGTCTCAAATTCTGTCCTTCTTTGAAGTATGAACAAAGTTTTTTCCTGCTCCATCAATTGATTGACAGATTAAATGAAACTGATGCTTTCACACAGAGGAAATACTCAAAACGTTAAAGTATCACCGCTGTAACTAGTGGGAGACCACCACACAACTATATTTCTGATTCATCTGTTTTGATGACATTTTTACATAAAGTGCCTTAATGTTTGGGGAAACACAGCAAGTATTTAAGAGCATGGACTCTGGAGTTAGTTAGCCTAGGTTTAAATCCTGGCTCCATCGCTTCTGGCTGTGTGACCCCAGGTAAGTTACTTAACTTTTTTTTTTAATATATTTTATTAATTCTTTACAGAGAGGAAGGGAGAGAAATAGAAAGCCAGAAATGTCGATGAGAGAGAAACATCAACCAGCTGCCTCTTGCACACTCCCTACCGGGGATGTGCCCGCAACCAATGTACATGCCCTTGGCCAGAATTGAACCTGGAACCCTTCAGTCCGCAGACCGAAGCTCTACCACTGAGCCAAACCGGTTTTGGCAAGTTACTTAACTTTTTTTAGTAAATGGGTTTGACAGCAGGGTGAGTGGAGGGGAGGCATCCACTTGTTGTTCCTCTTATTTATACATCATTGGTTGCTTCTTGTATGTGCCCTGACCAGGGATTGAACCCAAAACCTTCGCATACTGGGACGATGCCCTAACCAACTGAGCTACCCATCTAGGGCTACTTTCTAATTTCATTTCCTTTTCTGTACAATGAGATAATAATACTTATTGAACAGATACTGTGAAGATTAAATGAGAGGATCTCTGAAAAGCTGCGTAGCAGCAGTGTCTGGTACATACCAAGACCAGATGAATGTTTACGTGATATAATAAATATCAATGATGCTAACTTCCTTTTCAGACAATACTTCTATCTCCACTGCTGGGTGATAAGGAGCACACATTACACTTGTAGTTACAGTTGAGTGCATTACTCTGGAGAAGGGGGTGTTTCTCCTCAGAGCCAACTGTTCTGCTGTGATTTCTGACTAAAAGCAAGTATCCGTGCTGAGTGCTCTAAAATGATGCACACACTCCAGCTGACAGGCCTGCAGCTCTGTCTCTGCAAGGTGCCACGGCTCCCTGAAACCATCCGCTCTCCATCCAGGTACCACTTCTCAGCCTGCGATAAGCAGGGTTACACAGAGGAATCGAATTTCATTCAAGGGCACATACCTTCGTTTAGGAAGTCAACATGTTTCCAACAAACTGACTGACTGACAGGAGATCACAGAAAAGTAGTCCCATCCCTCAAGGAGTGTGTAACAAACTCTAGGAGACAAAACCAATGCACATAAGCCACAGACAGCAGAGAACAGGTTAGAATGGTGGAGGCTAACTATCCGAGGGGAGAGCAGCTGAAACCTGTTTGGCTCAGTGGATAGAGCTTCGGCCTCCAGACTGAAAGGTCCCAGGTTCGATTCTGGTCAAGGGCATGGACGTTGGTTGCGGGCATGTCCCCAGTGGGGGGTGTGCATGAGGCAGCTGATCGATGTTTCTAACTCTTTATCCCTTTCTCTTCCTCTCTGTAAAAAATAAAATTTTAAAAAATGGAGAGCAGACCCCCAGGGATTCAGAAGCCTGGAGGAGGGGAGAAAGGCCCGGGACTCTCAGGGGTGGTTTAGGAGCCAGGGCGTGGACTCGCGTCTGCCACAAAGATCACTGCGAATCCATCTACCCGCCCCAGCAGACGTCAAGCTTTGGGGGCAGTGGTGTTCTCGTCATTTTTGTTGCCAGCCCCTAACTCAGCGGAGGTGGGGAAAGGAGGGAGGAAGTTGGGAGAGACATAGAAGAAGGACCAAGTCGACAAAGAAAGACAGAGAAGGAGGATCTACCATGTCCCGCACCCCAACATCGCCCTTTCCACA